CAGCTGATGGTTAGAGACAATGAGTGCAAATTCCAAACACCATTGCTGAACACTGTAGCACAGCAGAGAAAGAGTGAAGAGTTGGGCACTAGAACAGCCTAGGGAGAAGCTTAAAGAGATGGGTAGGATTCATATAATGGGGAATAATGGAGAAAGCACAGAGCTTGGAGAACTGCACAGACCATTACAATGGCCAGCTGTTTAAAACACAGTAAATAGGTCACAGAGCATAGAACTTCATAGTTACTCAAAGGGAGGCCTGGCCGGGGGGGGGGGGGGGGGGGGAGCAACATGAGCATCCCCTATCTTTACAATTACAAAATCAGCATGTGGTTCTGCTTGGCTCTCGTCTTTGGCTATGTTAGCTCATTTGATGTCTGAGAAGTGACGCCATCAGCCGATTCTTCAATTCAGAAAGGATGCTGAGCCTTAGAGAGGTTGAATGGCTTCCCTTATGGTAACAGAAAACCTTTTTTAAAAGCCCAAATCAGACAGTCCTGTAAAGAGTGAATCCCGTGTCGTGTGGAAGGATTTGAATTCCACGTTAAGAAGTTTAAGCTTTATTTCCTCACTAATGAGGAAAGCCTAGCTGTACCTATGAGCTTAGTGAAAGACCGTCTCAAGAAAATAAGAGAATGTTAGAGAAAGACACCTGTGTTAACTTATCTCCTCCACGCATACATGGTAACATATGAACACACATGCACGCTCACACACACACACACACACACACACACACACACACACACACAAGAATATATCACGCACAACAATGACAATAATAAATGAATGGCAATGTGTGTTCAGGGGTCACCTTTCAGATTACTCTGTGCCGATTGGTTAGTCCTGTGTGAGGCTAGGAGAGTCCTGTGTGAGGATAGGCTAACCCTGTGTGAGGATAGGCTACCATACAGGGACAGTTAGGGCAAGTACTGTGACCTGAGAAACAATTCCTCCTCCTCAATCCTCCTCTTATAGTGTGGTTCCCAAGGTCATTTGCTAAAGCTAATACACAGAATGCAAGGACACACATTTGGGCTGTTTGGTCTTTGGTTCTGTGAATCACGCTGTTTAAAGCATCCCTGCGCGTGCCTCTTGGTGCGCACACAAGCATCTGTTGGGTATGTGGGACCACTGGAGCCATATCATGACCAGGTTAGCCTTTAGGGGAGTGGGAGACCATATGAGCAAAGGGGTCAACTCATCCAGCCACCAAACCAGTTGAATACCCCCGCCCCCACCTCCACACAAGGCTCGAGAAAGACCTGCTCAACTAATCCATGTAACTTGAGTAAGTCATACTTTACCATTGCTTAATCTCTTGGATTTACTGTGTGAAGGTAGAGTGCTGGGTGGAACCTGCGGCCTCAGGCATACTAGTCAGTACTTTATCCCTACATTCACCTCCAGCCTTCGTTTTTGTTTTGTAGATAGGGTCTCAATGTGTAGCCTTGGGTTTGCCTGGAACTCCCAATGTAAAATGGGCTGGCCTGGAACAGACAGTGACACTTCTGCTTCTGTCTCTCAAATTCTGGGATTATGGACAACACCAGGCCTGGCCAGAACTACTAATTTCTGAAGTAATTTGTTATACGTCAGTACTAGCTGCACAGAAACCAGTAGCAGATGTGGGTACATGGGAATTTAAAATGCAACTTTGGCTTTTGAACGCAGTGTGTGGGCGCTGTATAAACAGGGGCTGTTAGAGGTGGAGAAGAATGGGCTATTAGTGAAGGCTGGGAACAAATGTTAGTGTGTCTAGAGGCTAGGGAAAGAGAACTGTGTCAGACAGCTGTGAAAAGGGCAGGGGAAAAAAACTCTTCCTGTAAGCAAGCTACATGAAATCTGTGTCACATAGCTAATGAATTTTCAAGCTGGGAGATTTCCAGGCAGGGTATTGAATCATTTTGCTTCTGAGCACTAGAAGTTCTAAGAGGGGAGAATGGCTGGATGCCCCGACCGAGGACGGAAAGGATTAGAAAGTTAGACTTCTCCACCTGGCAAAGTGGAAAGAGAAGGCCAGTGGTGGCCTGTAGAAAAAGCTAAGACCTCAGGAAGAAACCGTATATGGTGGGGTAAGCAAAGGGGTCAACTCAGAGTAATCTGAGCACCGGGGAAGCTGGAGCAGGGATATTGCTGCATGTTCAGGGCTGTCCTGGACCGAGTTATTGTCTGGGAAAAGAATAGAGGAGGGCCGAATCGAGACAGGGACTGAACTTCAAGTCTTTGGACAATTTCAAAGCTTTCAGTAATATCAGTGCAGAAACAGCCAGAAGCCCAGGGGAGCAAGGGACATTCTCCCCTCCACACCCCAGACTCTGCCGCATCCTTAGAGCGTAGGCAAGGCTGGCTCTCAGCGGCTCAGGAATGAGAATGCACATCAAGCTGGGCGTCTGAAACTTTCCTGCCGGCCTCCAGGTCCTTTACTGAGACCAGCCTGGTTTCACAGTCTTCTGCAGGAACAGAAAGTCAGCCACCGCAGGGAAGGAAAGTCTCAATATGCTAGGTGCTGTTTCCCAGAATCTCTATCAGAGCGGTGTGAAGAACCGTGGAAGAGATGTCTCCCGTGCTCATGAGCTTGTGGGATCTGTACTGGACTGTTTGTGAGGCCAGCGAGAAATCAAGGAACAAACCCCGTTTCACCCTTTGGAGAGGGCCTGCTACCCTGAACCCCAGGGGTGGGGTACTGCTGCAAATTTGGTGATCCCAAGTATCCTCTCTGTGAGGGCGCTGCTGACTCCCACCTCCTGTGTTGCTTCAGCCTCCAGTGTTCCTGCCTCCCCTTGCTGGCAGCTGCTGGATGGTGGCATCCAGCTCTCTCTGGGGGTCTTCACCGAGGACCTCCTGGTTCTGCGTGGAAGGCCAGGCTCAGGAACACAAGCCTGCCACAGGGCAGATCCACTCCTGCTTCCTACCCCTATCCCAGGAGACACTGGCCTCTGGCAACCACCATCAAACTCTTAGGACCTCAAGATTGATCTGTAGTATGATAATAAACAGAGACAGATACAGACACAGACAGATTGGGATTCAACCTGAAGGCCAAAAAAGCAAAACAGCCAGCCACTGGTTCTTACCTCTACCTCAGTCTGAAACGGCGATCCTGCCTCTAGGAATCTCAGAATGAGACTGTGAGAGCTGCCTCCTCCCGTTTTAGCTGGGATTAAAGGCGTGCACCACTACTGCCCAGTTTCTATGGCAACTAGCGTGGCTACTGGGATTAAAGGTGTGTGTCACTTGGTCTATATGGCTGACCAGAGTGGCTGTTTTGCTCTCTGATCTTCAGGCAAACTTTATTTATTAAAATACAAATGAAACATCACTACGAAGATCCTTAGAAGCCATAGGAACTCAGATGTTTTCTCTCTGAGAAACCATAGAATCTCAAAATGCTGTAACTGCTGATTCCTTTCTCTACCTCAGAATGAAATGTGAATTTAAATGGGGGGGGGAATTAGATTTGAAAATAATTAGTAAATTATTATTGGACTATACCAATTGAAAAAGATTAAACTGGCTGGGTGTGGGGGCTCACATTTATACTCCTGGCATTCCGGAGGCTGAGGTAGCAGGATGAGTTTAAGGCCAGCCTGGGCTACAGAGTGGCAACTCTGAAAAAGAAAAAAGGGAAAAAAAGAAAAGAAGAGTAAATAGTCTATTCAGAAACAAGTTCAGTGTCAGCTTGGAGCACACAGCAAGACTCTGTTCCAGTACATGCATAGAATAGTAAGTGGCTCATTGCTTCTGACGGCAGTGAACTTAAAACATCGCCTCCACCTTGTGGCCGCTCTTGACTAGGACCGCTCTTTGGTAGTTTGACCTCCAGGATCACATGAATAGTTCATTTCTGATTAACTGCAGGTGACAGCTTCAATAATAGTAAAGGACATTGAAGAATTATACTAATGATCATTGCATTAGTCCCCAAATCTCATTTTATAATTTAGCATATAGCTGGGCATGGTAGCCCATACCTGAGACCAGCGTGGTCTACATAGTGAGTTACAGGCTAACCAGAGCTAGAGTGAGATCCTGTTTCAATTAACCAATCAACCAAACAAAAAACCCAAACAAATAGTAACAAAAAAAAATCAAACACCTTAGTGCTTTTTTGCAATAACAATAAAAATTCATTTATTGTACATTTTAATGAATGTAAGATAATAAGTGTAAGACAACAAAGTTAGTGAACAAATTAGGTTTCTTTGGATAAAAATTTGCTGAGATAATCCTTCTGTATACTGTGAATATGTATTGCTTCCATTGGTTAGTGATAAAGCTCATTTGGTCAGTAGCTCAGGCTTGTTACTAAATAGCTCTTACAACCGAAACTAACCCATCTCTATTAATCTAAGTTTTGCCACATGGCTCCTGGCTTTACCTATCCTCTAGCATCTTGCTTCTCCCCACGGCTGGCTCACATCTCTCCTCTGACACCACCCTTCTTCCTCTCCACATCTCCTTTTGGCTTTCCAGCTTAGTCTTATTCTGCCTGGCTATAGGCCAAGTTGGCCTTATCATTAACCAATGAGAGCAGTACACAGTTAGTGTACAGAAGGGTTATTTCACAGCACTCCCCCCTTTGGTCTAATTAAAAAGGGAGGTTTTAATTTTAGCATAGTAAAATTACATACAATGAAATACTTACCAAGTAAGAACTAGTTACAATAGCTAGTGTATTTGTATTGGACAAAATTAAGAGAAAATAATTATCTAGCCTATCTTGGTGAGCACATACTTTTAATCCCTGCCCTTGGAAGGCAGAGGAAGGTAGATCTCTGGCTGTGCTGGAACTCACTCTGTAGACCACTGGCTTTGAACTCACAGAGATCTGCCTGCTTCTGTCTCTCAAGTGCTGGGATTAAAGCTGTGTGTTGCCCAGTTTTTTGTTTTTTTTTTCGAGACAGGGTTTCTCTGCGGTTTGGAGCCTGTCCTGGAACTAGCTCTTGTAGACCAGGCTGGTCTCGAACTCACAGAGATCCGCCTGCCTCTGCCTCCCAAGTGCTGGAATTAAAGTCTTTTGTTTTTATGAGATAGGATTTCTCTGTATCTTTGGAGCCTGTCCTGGAACTAGCTTTTGTAGACCAGGCTGGCCTCAAACATACATATAAGGTTGTCAATTAAACCTTAATAATGCTAGAGCAAATCTTAAGCAGTTTGTAAACTTCCAAACAGATGATTTCCATTACAAACAAGAACATAATATGCAAAGTTTACATTTGGAAGAAAACCGAAAGAGCGCTATTATTTCCAACGAAAACGCAAGAGTTTGAGATAGTGCTACTTTTCTATGTTTTTTATGTTTTTAGGAACTTAAAACGAAAAGCAGCCGATTTTATTGCCGTTCATGTCTTGCATTTGAAGTACTCTTCGATGGCATCTTTAGCCTGAGACTCTTTGCCATAGCTCTTAACCACCACACAGCTGCAACCTATTACTTTCCGGGGTTTCCCCTTCCGATCAATTTTGCAGAGGCCTACCCATTCCCCGAGTTTCTTGTGGTCATCAACCTTAATCAGGTTGATCTGGTGCTCAGCACAAAGGGATTCCACCAACTTGGTGTACGTGGGCTTATCACAGTTGGATGCCAGCACACAGAGGTGGGCCTGGCGCTTGCCTAATGCTTTGGCAGCTTCGTGGATCCCTCTTACCAGGCCGTCGTGGCCCAAGGCGATCTTCAGCACCTCCTTCAAAGCAGAGTGGATGTCCATCGCAGCTCCAGCAGCGGCACCTTCCTTGGCCATGGCGGTGGGTGACACAGGCGGATCCGATCTACCCTTTCGAAACTACTCCGCAACTACCGAAAACTACCTAACTTCCAACCTAAGTCGCAGGAGGCAACGGGTTCCCAGTTCTGCGGAGGAGGAAAGGCGGTCAGATGGCCACCTAGAGGACAAAAAATTAGGACACCTCGGGTACGAGGCTGCCCGTGCGGATGGCTACCAGGGAGTGTGGGTGGCTCGCACCGAGCTTGGCTGAGCTTCCTCGTTATTATTACGTAATCTTGGCTGCTTCTGCGGGAAAGTATCTGGGGGGAAAAGTGGACCGCCTCCGTTGCCTGCTCCAGGCTCCACAACCACTGCGACGCCGCAACCTGCGCCAGCATCCCGTGCCCTCGCTTCATCGATCGCTGACTCTTATTTTGCCTTGGCCGATTCGCCACGACTTGGTATCAGAATTTAACCGGGAAAAAATTCCAACTTTAATATCTCAGAAGGCCTTCCTTTTCAGAAACGTGGGATCAGGAGACACTTTCGGTCCCTAAACATTTTTGTTGTGGTGACCGTGGCGGAGTCCCCTTCAGCTACGCTCAGCAGGAGGAGTGAGGCTTCGCGTCGAAAACGCCGACGCGGACGCCCAGACCGTCGTGCCCGGCCGCGCAGTCGCAGTAGCCTCTTGCTCCAGCTCCCGCCCCCAGCTGGGTGGACGACGTGGAAGTTGCTGGCCGACCTGGCTCGGAGGGAGTCGGCCTGGGCACCGGCGGCCCGGAGCAGCAGAGGTGGCTGCGTCCAGGCTCAACTAGGAGTCGCTCGCTGCCGACTGCCGGCCTGATTCAGAGGATTGGCGAGGGCGCGGCGGCTGTTCACCATGGGTGAGCACTGTGGGGAGGGTGGGCGTCGGGGAGAGACCGGGCGGACCACGGGTAGCAGAGCCACCTTGGCTCGTACCCTAGTGGGGACCAGATCCCCGGCTCGGTCCCCTCCACCCCGCGTCCCCGTCTCGGCTGGCCGGTGCCTGGCTGCAGGCTTGCCCTGCTATCTGACCCCTGTGGAATTTCGATGGCTCCTGCGTGGGCAGTGGGGACTGCATCCCTTGGAGAAACCCCGAGGCCGGGTGCTGCCCGCCCACTGTACCTGTCGGTGGGGAGAGTTGGGGAAGGTGGGTTGCCGGGTGGGAAGTGCGTGAGGTTTTCATCGCGACTCGCAGGTGAGGGGATCAGGGTCCTTATCCCGGCGCACCCTACGGTGACGCCCCCCGGGACAGCCGGAGCCTCTAGGGAGTTGCTGTCCTTCAGCCCTTCCCCGGTTTTCTTCAGAGTGATCCCGGGCATCCTCAGTCTGCTCGGTTCTCCGCAACCCTGCGGTGTTGTTTTCCTCCTCTCTCCTACACGTAAAAGGGTCGAAAAGAACTTTGTCAAGTCACACCCATTCTTCCCCCAGGTTCTGCTTGCAAGGTGGCATCTGTTCTTCCTGTCTTCTTCCCTTCTTTCCTTGTGTCCGTGTTTGTGTGCGCGCGCGTGCGCGTGCAAGCGGACTATGGCTTGAAGTCAGCCTTGAGCCTGTTAGCCAACGCCCTGCTGCTGAGTTACAGTCCCAGCCCTTTTAAAACTTTGAGACAGAATCTTACCAAGCTGCCTACCCTTGCGCTCAACTGTGTAGTCAAAGTTGACTTCCGACTACCAGTGCTCTTCTTGCTTTTTCTTTGAGTAGCTGGCATTACAGACTCGGACCACTAGCCAAAAGGCCTTGTACATATATATGCATAGACACACATCTATTACCTGTATATATTGATATGGAGTATAATCTCCTTTATATCTCCCCCACTTTTCCCTTTTCTGATTTGATATTGTGATTTTTTTTCTTTAGTGACTTTTGAAGGCAAAGAGTTTTGCCACAAATGCTTTTATTTGTGCCTTGGATGCATAAAGTATTGGATGTAGTCTTACTGTCTAAAATGAGTTTCTAATGCATCCAGGAAACAGAGGCAAGCGGGTGAGTTCGAGGCCAGCCTGGTCTATATATTGATTTCCAGGCCAGCCTGGGCTCCAAAGCGCACCGAGGGTGCTGGTAATGCCTCTGTCCTGTGACTGCTCTCTCAGCAGAGGACTGTACTGTGCCGCTGCTCCTCTGACTGGTGTTTGGTATTTAGGGGGAAGGAGGAGATGGCTGAGTTATCTTGTCCTTGCTCTATTGACTGGGAAGTGAACTGGACTCTTGAGGGCAGTGTCTGCATGTCTGATTATTTAGTGTGTCTTCTGCCTGCCTGACAGTATGCAGGACCAGGGAGCGTCTCTGATTGCTTATTTGCTGTTGCATAATATATTTCACTGGAGGCAAAAGTATCTACCTGTGCATCCGGGAAGATATTTTGTTATTTAATTAGGCATATAGCTGTCAAAAGGCAAGGTTAAATGTTTTATGGACCTCAGTTAAACTATGACATTAAATATATTTTGTTTTTATTGTCTTGTAGGTGGCTTTTTCTCGAGTATTTTTTCCAGTCTCTTTGGAACCAGGGAAATGAGGATATTAATTTTGGGATTAGATGGTGCTGGGAAAACAACAATCCTGTACAGATTACAGGTTGGAGAAGTTGTTACTACTATTCCCAGTAAGTACTGGTTTCATAACTCATTAGAGAACATTTCTGGTTTCTATCTAATACAACTTTATGAATAAATTAGTCATATGATACATTGCTAGGGGTTTATAAGCTTCTAGTATGAAAATGATATTGGCAATACTTTCATATATATATACACACACACAACACTATGAAGCTTTGATGCACTTTAAGGTTCCCTCTCCAGGCCTGCAAACAGATGTCTGTTTAGAGCTGTAGTTGGCTTAAGTCACTAAGTCTTTGTGCGTCATGGAGATGCTAAACATCTACTGGCTCTGAGGGGTAAAGAGGTGAAGTGCACACCGCACTTTGTTGGTGTGGAATGGAGTATATAGATGGTAAATATAGATGGTAAGTTGGTGTCGTTGCATACAAAGTACATTTTTCTGCATTTTAATGCTTGAATCACAGTGTAGTTTCTCTTAGGTAAATCTGTAGATCACTTTTAAAGATGGGAACTGTAGAGGCTGGGGGTTGAAATGACCGGGCTCCCGGAAAATGAAGAAGAAACACCCGAACCTCAACTCTGTCGATGGCCTTATTATTCTTGCTGGCTTAGAAAATTACTTGCAGATACTCCCATCTGCAGGGGGATGGTTACTCTTTCATTTGCTAAATTAAATTTAGAGAGGTAAAAGCAGTACATTTAAATTAAATTGGAGAATCCATATAATTTGCTCAAGATTTTAAACTGTGTTTTGAATTACTGTCAGGAAATTCCCATATCGTCATTGAACCTTCTAGGAATTTTTTTTTTTTTTTTTGGTTTTTCGAGACAGGGTTTCTCTGTGGCTTTGGAGCCTGTCCTGGAACTCGCTCTGTAGACCAGGCTGGTCTCGAACTCACAGAGATCCGCCTTCTAGGAATTTTTTGTTTTGCTTTTACAGATGAATGTTTGGATTCTGTAGCATCTGTTATTTCTTTTTGCCGTTTTCATTTCCTCCGATTCTCACTTCTCAGATGCCCTCCTCTGCATCTGGGTAGCTTCTGGTGACCTCTGCAATGCTGCACAGAGCCGCGCAATGGGTGGACCCACTGTGGCCATGGGCTGCCTTCACCCCTGTCCTTTGCTCTTGGTGGTGATGAGCATGGAGCTGCCTTTGTCTAGTTCTGAGGGAGAGCGGCGCTTGCTTTTTATTTGCTGCATTTGCTGTGGATTTGCTTTTCAGCTGTAATGTGCATACCTGCCTGCCACATGCATCGTTTGCCAGCACAGCGTTAAACAGGAAACGGCAATGAGTAAAAGTCATTCTTCACTCTGACCTTTGAGGTTTGGAAATGTGAGCAAACGTGTGTGTGTCCACCTTAGGTGTTTTCCGCGTTACTTTCTCCCTCGTTTAGACTCCTTTCTTTGAAAGCAGTGTCAGGTCTCAGCCGTGTGCCAGAGCTACACCTAGGAAGGATGTAGACACAAGGAAGAGCTGTGGACCACCTAGCTGCGACCTGGCTACGTGGGAGCTCTTGAGGTGTCAGCAGAGAACTTGGCTCCCATAAAGTCACTGCTGTGCCCTTTCTGGATGTTAGAGCCTAGTCTTTTGTGTTAATTGTAGTTTTTACTGTCTTCCAGCACTTCAGTTTTTCTGTCTATAACTCTACTTTTCAAATCAAACTTTCTGGCCCACTTCTTTACTCCCAGCACTTGGAGACAGAGGCAGGCAGATTCCTGTAAGTTCGAGGCTAGCCTGGTTTACATAGCGAGTTCCAGGACAGCCAGGACTACACAGTGAAAACAAATAAGCAAACAACTTTCTGAACGCTTATCTGCCAGTATTCAGGGGAGTCTGATAGACAGACCTGTAGGACTGGAATTGCTCCCTGCATAAAGTGTGGAGGACCTGAGTTCAGTCCCCACAGCCTGTGTAAGAACAACCTGGATATGGTGTGTGCAGTTCTGATCCCAGCAGTGAAGAGGCAGCTGGCAGGTGCCTGCGGCCCAATGGGCAGTGACTGCGGAGCAGTGTTGGCCTCATCCTCTGGCTCACACACATGCACGTGTGCCAGCGTTTGCGTAACGTGCACAGAGCAGTCAGGAGATCTTTGTAACCTGAAGGCGGTGCTGATCTTATTAATTTATGGTGCGTGTGTATCATAGCACATTGTCTTAGATGTTAGATTAACCCAGTCCATAATGTGCTTGAGAATTACCAGCAGTTGCTAGAACTCGGTGAGGCTGGAGACTGTTAAGGAGGAGTAGATCAGTCTACATGCACTATGGTGAGGCTGGAGACTGTCAAGGTGGCGTGTATCAGTCTACAGCACTAGCAGTTTCATTTCTCTTTCAGCTATTGGGTTTAACGTAGAGACGGTGACATACAAGAACCTCAAATTCCAAGTTTGGGACTTGGGAGGACAGACGAGTATCAGGTACGGTACGAACATCAGGTCATTTGTTGCTATTTAACATTTGCTGCTGCTTTTTCGTGCCGACAGCACTAAACCACAGTGTGTCTCTGGTGGGAACTCAGGTTCCCAGATAATCACGTAGAATCCTTTCATGAAAGCCAGAAAGGCTCAGAAACGGGCCCCTTGTTTCAGTTTCCTCTGTCCCCCTCCGAGAGCTGTCATCCGTACAAGGCCATGCAGAGGTGATGTAAATGCGTGTGCGCTGGAATTCAGTGCTCACAACTCAGCACTGTGAGTGTCTGTGACTGTCAGTGGCTTAGGGGACCAGCCTAGATCAGTAGTAAGGGTACTGTTACAAAGATTGGTGGTGTGGCGGTGCACACCTTTAATCCCAGCACTGGAGACAGAGGCAGGAGAATCTGGTCTACAGAGTGAGTTCCAGTTCAGTCGGGTATAGTAACACAGTGAAACTTT